GAAAGAAACAGAAATTTTTTTCTGACTATGGTTTTCCTCAGAAACTCCTCCAAGAAACACAGAAAGAAAACAGAAGGAAAGGAAAAGAAACCAATGGCCTTGCAAAGCGAAAGGAACAGTCAAATCAGCACATACAGGATCCCCCTCCACCAGCTGATAGGCAACCATGTACTGAGATGACAACTTGTAGGTTAAGGAAGCAACAAAACGTGGTTTTCTGCAGCTTCTGGAAAAGCGCCATTATGTTCTACCACGTGAGTGGTCTGCAGGTAACAGCGAGTTCTCAGACATTTTTATACCACCCTTCCACTGAGCTCCTGACATAATGCTCTTTGCATTTCTACCAAAATCACAGTGGCCCTTGAGGACCTGTGGAGAAAATGGACTGGGTTTCAGTAGAAACATTTTAAATAGTTTACACAACTGATTCCTCAAACCTTAAAGCAATGCAATTAAGGTTTAAAAGTAAAATGCATGTATACAAGAATATAGTAATGGTTTTATAATTGACACTGAAACATTGAGAAATATCTTGCTGCTCTCTTGCTCTCTCTCACACCTTCTTCCTGTAGAGTGTAATGCAGAAAGGAGGGAACTTTACCTACTATTAAAGCACGTGGTCTAGTACACCTATGCATAAGTTTGTATGGCTAACATTAAAAGACGTTAGACCTGACTTCTGTGGGTTTCTCCCAGACCAAGGATATTCATTTAACGTAGTCTGGGTGATTTAATTATACCTAACAAGTAAATATTTTTCACCTATTAATAGGAACAGCCTATAGCAGTAATGGAAAATCAATCTGTCTGGCTGTTTTGCAGGGCCTCCAAGAGATAAGAAGCAATAATGAAAGGGATCACAGTATGGGAGAAGCAGTACATGTAAGGAATAGATATGATTTCTCCTCTGGAGTTCTTAGAAGTGAACCCAAAAGACAGAGGCAGTTTAAAATGATGCAACATTCTGGAGAGACAGATAAGTTTTGCAACTTCCTTTATCCTGAATTTTAATAGCATATCTAATAAAAATTCTTAATATAACTTGTGACAAGGCTCCAAGAGTCCTGTGAGGTTAAACAGCGTCTTACTGAAGTCTCAGCTACATCCTTCTATGCAGTTGGCAGTGTTAAC